CTGCATTTCTTTGGTGTTTATCTTCTTTCTGCGGCACCGCTTTACATCAGAGAAAATAAGCAAAGCTGTATTTTTTTGTAAACATGCTGCTTTGTGTTCTCAAGGGCTCAAATATAGAACTTACAATGCCGTTAATTAAAAGGGGAATTGAAGTACACTGTCGCTTCTCTTGACAGGTCTCGGTCAGGGTATGTCCGAGTAGGGCTGTGCAATTAATCGTATTTTAATCTCGATTACGATTTTGGCTTGCAACGATTACGAAAACAACATAATCGAAAAAAAACGATTATTATTTTTATAAAAAAAAAAAAAAAATGTAATTATTATTATTTATTTATTTTTGGTTTTTCAGTTGAATTATACTTAAAGTTCAGGGTAATCAACTGTTAAACACATACTGTTCACATTTTTGTTTCAATAAATGGATGTTTTCAAAGTAAATGGATAATCGTTTTTAATAATCGTGATATCAATTATTGACCCAAATAATCGTGATTAGGATTTTTGCCATAATCGCACAGCCCTATGTCCGAGGGTCTTGATGTAGCATGGCACAAAACATCTGTTTCCTCTTTAGCTGCATGGGGGCGCCGGGCTAAGCCTCCCCTGCAGGCTGGGCCGTCCTCTTCACAGGGAGGACACTGAGAGGCAGGAAGGGATAGAGAGCAGACAGACAGACAGACAGGCGTTTTAATTAAAGAGCAGAGGGATGGAAGGTGTGAGAGAGCTGAATTGGTGATCCTGCTGTCTGTTATGATCAAGATGTTGTAGATTTCCTCAGACATTTCACTTGTTTGTATATATTTTCATTCACATATAAATAGGCTTCATCTGTAACTATCCAGCTTGTCATGTTGCACAATCTATTAAGTGTTATGTTCAATGGACTGACCTTAAGCTCCACCTGTAACAAGGCTCACATAGAGCAGTATTATACATATTTAGTTGTTAATGGAGCAGAGTGCTTGTTGAATCTTTGAACAGCCCAAAAACATATTATCCCAAAATCAGATTTGGGTGGAGGGGACTGTTTCTGACGTTTTTTGTAACTTCCTGTGACCGACAATTCATGTAGAAAGAGGTGAGAAGGTATCCGTTGCACTTCTTATTTTAGCTGTTGCACGTGTTTCACAGCTACTGAGCGAAAACAAATTAACATAGACCCTTTTTGTGATAAAAAAATAATAAGACCAATAAGATTAGACCTCTAGTTCCAAAAAGTTTGGATGTATGAACCTTTATAGGTAAACAATGCCTATACACCTGACAACTTGTCATATTTTGCTCAAGTCTCTAAACTGTGAGCAGCAGATTAACCAAAATGTGTGTTTTACTTTTTTGGATTGTCTCATTTGAATAGAGTCCAAAATAGTTGTTTTTTCTAAGGAAAGATTTCTTCTTCAGTCCTTTTTTGGTTATTTCACATTATGAACCCTCAAATGTGTCTTTCCTTGTGAAAAAATAGGTTACTACATAAATAACAGTGACAATATATGATCAAAACCAATTCTCCTGAATAAAACATCTTGTTTGGCAAAAGCTTTTGAAGATTGCACTCAGACACAGAGGGAGTAAATAGAGCAGCAGGAGAGAGACAGGAAGAGAGTGATGGGGCAGGGGGGGAAATGAGAGGGTACCGAGGCCCTGTGGCACATATAGTGGAGATGTGGAGAGATGAAGAGGGGGAAGGAGGGCAGGGGAAATGAAAGACCCAAGGTAAGGTAGCATAAGGACGGGGAAGGTGGGGGGGGGTTGTTCACTATAGAGATGAGAAAGAAGGGGAAGGGTTTAGAGGTTAATGACAACCTACAGAGAGAGATGAATGAGGTTGCGTAACACGAGGAAGATTTTACAGCCATCTCACGCTTTTCACAAACCTATGATCACAGGAGAAGGTGCTGGGTACTAATCTAGCTCATTACAGTCAATGGGGACTGTTGTTCTCAAGTGGTTCACTGTGTGTGTGTGTGTGTGTGTGCGTGTGCGTGTGCGTGTGCGTGTGCGTGTGCGTGTGTGTGTGTGTGTGTGTGTGTGTGTGTGTGTGTGTGTCTGTGTGTGTAAGCGTAACCTTTCATCATGCACATTTCTTCTTCCCCCTGATCTACTATTCCGTTAATTTATGTTTAGAAGAATCCTTAGTTGTTTTCTATATCCAGGACCATTTCTGGTTAAGACATTGTGTCTGAAAAAACGTCACTGTGACTCAGATTTAGTCATACGATGTCCGAGATAACACTTGGAGCAAGAGATAACCTCTGAAAGCGGCTGGCTCCCTTCAAGCTTGTAATGTCAGATTCAATGAGTTCACGCAATCATTCAGAGTTCAACCAAGGAAAAACATCAGAAGAAGGACAAACATTGCCCATATTGTTGAGGACTGTACAGATTATCAGTTGCTGTAGTCATATAAATTACCCCCATACCCCTCAATAAAAGCCAACATCAGGAATACTGACTTCCTATGGCAATAAGTAGCATATCCTGCACCTTTTTCATTTTAAACACAGATGTGGAACAGATTGTTCCGGAAGAAAGGTGTCTAATAAATACCCCAAAAACCCTGACCATACACTGTAACCTCCAGTCCCACTTCCTCCTAATTTTCTGCCTATTTTTCTTGTTTCATGGTCTTTTACCCTTCCACACCTGTTGCTTGACTTTTTTCCCGGAACTCTACCTAAACAATGGCTGACTTTCCTGAAATCTGTCAGGCCGACATCTGGAACAAAACAACTAGTTGGCTGTTGCCCCCCCCCCCCCCCCCCCCCCCCCCTCAGTGGTTTATAGTGGCATGACATTTGACATGCTCAAGCTTCTCTGTGAGGGTGTGCAGACTAAGGGAGGTCGAGTTACGTGAACGTGAAATGTCCCCTTCTTCTGTGTCAATAGTAGTTAAGTATTTAGTAGCATTAGACAAAAGAGTAATGCCATAGTTAAGAAGTTGTGTTTTAAATTGTGTATATCTTCGATTGCAGCTATCTAATGGGCTTAATTCAAATGAAAGTGAAATATTTAATGCAAAAGTTCACTGCTGGTATTTAGGGTATTCAGATGTTTTTGAGTTAGGTTACTTTGGTTTATAACAAATATGCAAAACACTTTTAAACCAGGTCTTTAATTTGTTATTGTCCTTGTTAGTCCTAAACGTATTTCCAAAAACTAGAGAATCTGCCATATTTGTTTTCCTTTGAGATACCAACATTTTTACCCCCCTTGGTTTGCTTTGTTCAAGTCACTTTGTTTTAATTGAATGTCAGAGCGCTACAGTGCAGTCGGTCATGTTGTCTTAAGTTTGAATGTACGTCATGACCTTTGTTGAATGTTATTCTGCCATTTACTATATCATAGTGCTTTAAGACGGTAAACCAAGGGTTAAGTGGTGTTTGCTTGTGCTTGGTGCTATCAGTGGGGTCATATGGTTTGTCTTAAATCATGAGACATGGGTCCTTTTTCCTGCCAGAGGAGGTGGTTCATTGTTTTAGCTCATGTGAAGGAACAGTTAAAATAGCATTTGATAACACTTGAAGCAGACCTGAGGGAACAATAAGCACAACACCCTCCTGTTGTCTAGCACAGCACACAGATTTTGAAGGGAAGTGAATGAAAAACACGCTCCACTTGGTATATATAACATCTTTAAGTTCAAGAGATGTGTTCTCTGTCTTCACACTTTCTTCACAACATGCTGCTTCTTTCGTAGACATGAATAAGATGCAGAATAAGACAACGGTTATATATTGCCTTTTTGAATCCATAGGGAAGTCCTTTTTTGCCTTGTGCTGCTGACCGACATACACATGCTCTTAAGCTCAGGTGCAAAACTAGAGCAGCAGATATACCCATGACCACATGCACATACATGCACACATACGTAGACACATGATAAGTGGGCAGGGTTGTTTTCATGCTATAAATACTCCTTGGGTAGAGCCTTTCCCATTATAGACACGTGCAACCTACTCTCCACTTCCAAATCCTCATATAGCTTGACAACTTTAAAATATATAAAACCTCTCTCTTCACAGAACACATAAATATATAATGTGGCAGTGCATTATGTCATTCCTTATGTTTGTTTTAAAGTGTTGTGTAACCTCTTTTAGTGGCTTGTTAATATGAAAAACAAGCTGTTTAACTGTGACTGTGAAAGAGATATTAGCTCAGAAGGGTATTGGTCTAATTAAGCAACACTTTTGAGATGTTTAATGACAACAAACTCAGTGTAGTTTTTAACACAGATGTTTATTTAAATCTTGCCGGCATTCAGCTAAACCTACCTGTCAAAAGACTGTTATTTTTAAAGGGATTTTCCCCCTTGAGTTTCTTATCTTGGTATGTAAGAGCAATGGCTTTGACAGACAGAAGAACTGTTGCCAAGAAAAACTAATTAATTGAACAACATTATTGTTAAAATGCTGTTAATTAAAACTACAAAATAATAATAAAATCTCCCTCTGCTTGCCAAGTTTTCACAACGATTAATCATTTAGGATGATGTGTTTGCTGCCTTTTCTTTTGGCCAACTGGACATTGTTAAATTCATTCATCATTCATCCAGAATATACTGGATGTGGCAATGCTGTCTGGACAAAGGACATCTATCATTTAAAAAATAAAAGGACAGACTTGAATGAGTGACAAAAGATAGGAAACATTACCCACATATGCTTGTTAATTCATAATTGTGATAAAGGAAAAACTATTCTAACTTCTAAAAGGTTTAAGCATGTCAACATAGCCTTTAGTTGAACCCTTACCTCTTTACTCGTTTTTAGGAGTGTCAGCTTCTATTAGCATGCTTATTGTATTTAATATGTAATCAGTGCTTACACATGTCAGCTCTGTTTCTGTCATGTAACTCCCTCCAGCTTTAAATACGCACAATATGAGCTGAGCTTTAGGGACCACTGTTCTGCCTGCCATCTGGTCTCTGTTGCTTGCCCTGCAGGATAACATTTCAAAACTAAAACCCACTCTTTCTTTCTCTGTGTGTCCCCTAGGAATCCACACAGGTGAAGCGAGGACAAGGACGAGATCTGCATCTGCCCCATCTGTCCATCAACGACCCAAGTGCCTCGGTGCCGGCCACCCTCAGGTCACCTCAACCACGACGGGCGCCAAACAACAAAAGTCTTGACCCGGCAACCCTCAGACAACCTGCACAAAGCAAATATTTGAAGCCATTATATCTAATTTCTCCAGGCAGCCGTCACTGAAACAGCAAAGGGTGTTGTTAGGAGACAGAAGGAGAGAAGAAAAAGTGGGGGAGGAAAGAATAACCCTTTCAAAGTGCACCCTGCTTGCTATTTCTGCTGCGTTGTGGGCTGGGAGCGTCTCATTTGGGAGTGATCTTGGCTGACAAAAAAAGGCCTTCCCTGTGCCCTGCCTGCATATCCAAATGCCTGTATAAATACTGGATAGAGATATCAATTTGTGTGGTTTCTGACATTGCCCAACAAAGAGACTGCCAGCTATCTATAGAAAACGTAGGAGTCTGTGGTCTCCTGAATTGCAACACATCTTTTACCTCTCAAAGTTGGTTCGAGAGCGGTGAGAACAGGAATGAGAGCGACCACTGTTTTCTGCACCTAGAAAAACCTTTGCAGAATCTCTAGACTTGAACCTTCATAGGGCCAACAACTGCTCTCTGAGGGACACCAGAAGCTGTCAGTCATTTGTGGGCTGCAGTTTTGATGTCTTTCCCAGCTCAGTAAATAAACATGAAGCCCCTAACGCCAATTGGATCCCCCTCCCCTCTGAGGCTCCTCAACAAGGGTCCAGACTACCTGCGCAGGACGATAGATGGTGGAGGATATGGACGCTCAATCAGCGCTGTGGAGAGGCTTGAGGCGGACAAAGCCAAATATGTTAAGAGCCAGCAGGTGATAAATACCAAACAGGAGCCAGTGCTGGTGCCATGCGCTACTCCACCACCGCAGCCCCGGCGAGCTTTATCCACCCCCGGCAGCCTGACGCCTCGCCTCACCCCACGCTGTTCATCAAACACCCCCTTCTCTACACTCTCTGGCTCCTTCACCTCAAGAGATGAGAATGAAAATGACGACTCCAGGAAGGAGAACAGACGGACTTCTGTTGACATCGAGGCGCATAACCGGAGCAATGTGAACAATGTTTTGCCTCCCAACCCCAGGACTCCGGGCATCAACTCCTTGGTAGCGCCCCACAGTGCCCCTGTACTCAGAAGAAGCAACGGCAAACGCATGCTGAGGCCGGACTCCCTCCTCATGTACAGGCAGAAGAAAGAGTGCAAGAGCCCTGAAGGTGCAGCAGTTGTAGAGAACAATAACAGTGAAGTGAAGGGATACAGTTTTGTCCGTCGCCTCTTCCAGGGCTCCATGAGGGAGAAGGGTAGCGTAGGTGATGGCAAGATCCAGAAAATGGTGATTGGTGAAGAGAAAGCGCCATCACGGGATGGAGATTCCCGCATGTCTTGGACCAATGACAAAGACAATACTGACGGAGGACCGGGGAGCAGGAGGTCGAGTAAAACTGACCATGATCGCAGCCCAGGGTCGATCCCCAGCCCTGGGTTTAGCTCTGTGCTTGAACAGACTAATAATGGATTTACAAACGGTACCAGTGATGGTATCAACACTGACAACCACTCAAGTGACCATGATGATGAGAACGACCCATGGAAGCGGGCGTCACCCCCACCAACACCCAGAAAGCAGTTTGGGGAGCTGCGAGGCTCCAAGTCCGACCTGCGCTGCTCAGTAGCGTTGTCAGATCAGGAGAATTTCTTTGACTATTGCGGGCTGGATTTGGACATGATCGATCGTCTGGGCCGTGAGAACTTCCTCTCCGGGGCCAGCTCCATAGACACACTCTCGCTGGCCCTCCGCAGCGTGGTAGGGGACGGCTGCGGCGGCTCGGAGCCCAGCGAGTTCTCGCAGCACTCAGGAGACGGGCTGTTTCAGGAGGAGCTGGCTGAGCAGCTTCCCACCGGCGTGTCAATCATTGAGAGGAATGCTCGTGTCATCAAGTGGCTTTACGGGTGTAAGAACGCTGCTCGAGAGGGACCCAAAGAGTCTACTGTGTAATATAGGCACAAGGAACCATGTGTGGTGGAGTGCTGGTGTCTGAAGGGTTTCCTCTAACAAGAACTTATTTTTGATGAAACCGTTAAGCATCGTCACCCAAAGAGAAGGAGCAGTGCAGAAATGTGCTGATTACATCATAACATAGAGTTAGCACTCCAAGGCACACGTTAACCTTTGGTCCCTTGCTCTTCCTGACTCAAAAGACACTGTTTCTTCAACCAACTGCAACAACTGCTATTAGTTATCGCAGGGCAAATTGATATATTGTATTTATAGATCTTATGGACCTTTTGTGTGGGTGTAGAAAGACCTTACTGGTGTATGAAGCCAAATGTCTCCGTGTGTGTGGAGTGGACCTCGCTGTCCTCTCAATTTGTAGCTTCTTTTCAGTTACAGACCGAACTGAACAGGCCCCTGTGGCCCTCACAAGGCACATAAGTGTATGTTTGTCATGACACACTGGACAGTTTAGTGTCCTTGGCACACACACACTCACTTAATGACTAGATTAAAATGGAAAACCACTAAGCTATGTTTTATCTGAAACTGGAAAACTGTTGTGTGAGTGTGAAGTGAACCATGAGTACCTCATTTGGATCTGTCCCAGTTTAGATTGTGTGTTGCTTTTTTTTTTTTACTCCCTAAACGCAGGCGTTGGAACAAACATGCAAAGGACCCCTGTGGGGTTGTTAATGCACTGAACTGGACAGACAGAGGAAATAAAGAAGATATAGCTTTGACCCTCCACAGAGATTCATCTCATATAACGTTAAACACTGAGCTCGATTCGTGGAAGACAAGAATCCATTTGTGACCAGTCATTTTTCATAATTTTCACCTTGTTTTTTCATCTCTAAAGAGGGTTGATTCTCACGTTTTATTAACACTGTCCAATAATCACTTGTGACACAGTCATTGATTACCACAGCTCATGTTTCATGTGTATTGAGTGAGTACTGTGAGCTACATGGTTGCGAGAACATCAAGGAAATATTCCTGTAAGAGCAAAACTGGACTTTTGCAAGCAAATATAAGCACAATTTTAAACTCACTAGATATAAGTAGAAGAAATGAAGAAGAATTCATGAAAATGATCTATTCACCTCTAAAAGTAAAGTAGCTAAAGTTGTCAAACCCTGCCTTCAAAATATTTTAGTGTCACTTTTACCATCTGGCAGTTTACAGACGTTAACCTTCCCATCTGGCTCAGTCAGTGCCCATCAAAACAAGAAGGGGAGGCAGACGCCCTCCTTCTTCTGATAAGCACAGATCCTACCTCACTTCATCCATCCTTCAGTGACTTTCACTTTATCTCCATGAAAGGTAATTTCCATAGCTTGGCCTGGATGCCACAGAAATATGGGGTCTGCGAAGGTATGCAAAGGTTAAAGTGAGAAGCGTTTGGGTTGAGAATGACTGAACTAAAGGGCACAATATTTTTGTATGTGATTAATTAACACCATTACTTGCAGCTTTGTTATGTTTCATTTCCTGTATTCAACATCAGCATGGCACACTCCTGAAATCCCTCCAACCCAGATTCTTTTTTGTTTCATATTTCCCTGTTAAAAAACATTTGGTTGCATGTTTACAAAATGGCTCCATGAAACTGAATCTCTTTTTTTATTTGACATAAATATATATATATATGAGAGATTTAGTTTTTATTCCAAAGATGTTTGTGTATATGATGTACACAGCAAATAAACACAAAGAATGAAATAATTGTGTCGGGGTCATTTGTTTTTGGTCTTTTTTGTGTTCTTAATAATAAGCATTTGAATTATAGCAAAAGGTTTTCCTAGATAATGTATTTCAAACATTCTTAGACATTCAATATATGGGAAACAAATCCTGCAACATTTAAAAGAATACTCATTCGATCACAGAAGTCAATATAAAAACATTTAAAAATAAGCTGTGACTTCTCTAATCGTCTTGGAGGTTAATGGTCGACTGATTCTTGCCTTGACTCTTTGTTGCCGCCCTCCACCACATCACGTCTCATTTTTCACATTATCTCAAGTGGCTATAGGCGCTAATCGTTTTAGCATCCCCTGCATGGTCTTGCTCTTGAGTGAGTTGCAACAGGTTGTGTTTGTAAAGGCGTCCTCTGTGTGGCCTGATGCTGTGTCTACACCGTCTGATGGCGACCCTCCGGCCGTCTGCAGACTCCTCCTGACGCTCTTTATCTCGTATCTCCCTCTTAGACCTGAGTCATCTGTTGTTTGCACATGCACCAGCTCTCAATGTTTTCAAATCTCAAGGGGAAGTCAGATCTAAAAGTGTTTTTTATCTTATGCTTAGAGGTCTACCCAGTCTCAGAGCTTGAATCCTGAAGGGAAACTCCATTAACTCGTTTGGTCAGTCCATTTATTATTAGTGAGCAGGGAAAGCCGCCATGTCACTAGCCTAGCCAAAATATAGTAACAGCATTTGACATCCCAATAAAAGAAACACGATATAACCTACATAGTTATTTGTGTACAAACAAAACAAATATGCTATCATGTGTTAATTGGTGAGCCTTATGGCCCTTTATCACCTACTTTGTTTGTTTGAACGGCCAGACTTTTCAAAGTTGGGAAATCTCCCCTGGACCAAACAGCTGTACCTTGTCTTCTGGACAAATAACAGGAAATCGTTGCTGATCAGTGTAATGTTATAAGAGTAAGAAACTCTTTTTAGGAATATCTAAATGGGTAGCAAGTGCGTGGTTGAGAAATAAGAAGCTACAAACAGCTGCTTAGCTTAGTTTAGCCTAGCACAAAGTCACAAAGGGAAACAGCTAGCTTGGCTAAGTCCAAAAGTAACTAAATCTATTTACCACTTTTTCAAAGCTCACGAATCAACACAATATATATCTCAGTGAAAACTGATTCCGATCAAGAAATAGTCAAAATCTTCTAAATATATATAATATAAACATGTTTCAAAGTCAAAACTATTCCTTAAAAGAAACATAAAGCTTTTTATTTACTCCTCGGGCCTAACGATTACAAACCCAGCTGAAAAAACCAGCATAGACCAGCTGGGTGCTGTTTTTAGCTGTTTTTAGCTGGTGTTAGGCTGGTTTAGTTGGTTTACCAGCTAAACCAGCATAGACCAGGTGGATGTCATGCTGGTCTATGCTGGTTTTAGCTGGTAGTTAAACTGATCTATGCTGGTGAAGCTGGTATTTATGCTGGTCTACCAGCAGTCTTGCTGGTGAAACTGAAACAGACAGACAGACAGACAGAGAGGGCGGGACACGGGGGAACGGCGGGACGGCAGTGGTTGAAACAAAGCGGTATAAAACATGGTTTTGACTGGCGCTAATGGTACGTCCACACGGACGGTTCCGTTGCGTGCTTCAACGGAGACGCTTCCCATTCACTTTGAATGGGAGGACGTCTCGCTTTGCCTCCGTTGCTCGCTTCGAAAGTTGAGAAAAGTTCCGTTGCGTTGAAGCTTGCCAGTGGGCGTGTCTGGCGCGCGACCAACAACCAATCACATTAATCTCCCGCCCCGACACACAAGCACGTTAATAGCGGCATATGATTTGATTGGCTGGCGCTTCCATCGAAACTATGCATTTGCAATCTTTTTTTATTCCAATTACAATAATCTTTTTGTTATAATTGTAAAATGCCAGTACAAGCGCTAGCCAATCAAACCGTGTGCTTGTGTGTCCGGGGCGGGAGATTAATGTGATTGGTTGTTGGTCGCGAGCCAGACACGCCCACCGGCAAGCTTCAACGCAACGGTTCCGTCGCGTGCTTCAACGGAGATGCTTCCCATTCACTTTGAATGGGGTGACGTCAAGCTTTGCCAAACTGCATTGTGGTTCCGTCGTGTCGCTTTGCCTCCGTTGCTCGCGCTGAAAATTGAGAAAAGTTCAACTTTTCAAGCGTCGACGGAAGCGCCAGCCAATCAAATCATATGCCAGTACAAGCGCTAGCCAATCAAACCGCGTGCTTGTGTGTCGGGGCGGGAGATTAATGTGATTGGTTGTTGGTCGCGCACCAGACACGCCCACTGGCAAGCTTCAACGCGACGGAACCGTGTGGACATACCAACTGGTATATGATTTGATTGGCTGGCGCTTCCGTCGACGCTTGAAAAGTTGAACTTTGCATTTTATCATATTAACTAGCTATTTATTAAATTAAAATACTGTTATGAACAGTATACAATGTCGTTATTTTGGTAGATACCAGAATACATGACACAATGAATCTTTGTAATATATTTATGTTCTCTGGTTTAAATAATCATCCAGTATTTAAACAATGTATGCTGGTCACCTGGAATCCTGGTAAGCTTCCAGCATGGTATATTTAATACTATTATTAAACATAAACTGGTGATAGATGGATGCTGGTGACCAGCCCAGCATACCAGCATGCTGGTCTATGCTGGTTTTTTTAGCTGGCCAGGATGGCTGGTTTAGCTGGTTTAGCTGGTGCACCAGCTAAACCAGCTAAACCAGCCAACCATTCCAGCTAAAGTGTCCAAAACCCCTCTAAACCAGTCAACCATTCCAGCCTAATATCTACTGGCTGGCAGCTAAATTGGTCTAAGCTGTTTTTTTCAGCAGGGAAATGTCTCCTCATCACAAAACCATCACCATGTGTGTTGTTTGGTTGCGAGTTAATGTGTTATTTATTCTCCATGGAGCAGCTCAAGGGTTTCATTAGCTTTTCAGCTAGGTTAGAAACTTAAAATGCACATTGTAAAAATAATATGATTTCTGCTGCAGGAAGTACTTTCCCTTTAAATGATCCCAAAAGGGTTTAAGGACATTTAAGGATACAATCTTCTGACATGGTCCCGGGGGCTCTGTTTTTCAGACAGTGAGCAAAATGCTTTGTTTCTTCAGATAGCTCTAAAGTATTTAAGTCTCTAACAGCAACACGTGCAGTGTAATTACACACATAAACACACACCTCCAATTTCTACATCCCTTTACCACACTTCCCTTACCTCCTTTCCAGAGCAGGAGGAAAACAATAGCCCTCCTGTGTCTGCGTCCATGTCAGTTACTGTGACCGGACGGCCTGCTGCGACATCCTGTTTTGGGTTCATAGAACAAGGTTTAAACATATGGTCATGTTTTGGGTTTGGCCTTTCTTCCACAGTCTGCATGGAAACAAACAGACAACAGCTGTAGACGACAATTCAGATGTTGTATTGTTACAGGGTTGACGTGGTTTAGTTTGGTTTAGTGCTGAGCTTTTCGGGGTAAAGTCGAGCTGCTGTACCTGCTTAAGAATTTTGGTGAGCTTGCAGAAAAACCCTGGTTTGAAGAGTGGATGTTAAACTGGCAGGAATTCGCCACCACTGTAGGCTTTGATGCTGCTGATGTGGTTTTCCACTCACATAAAAAATATAACCACAGGGGGTCCAAAGACCTCCTGCTCTACACTTTTGCCTAGCAGCAAATCTTGACCGGAAAGAGTTTGACCCAAATATGACTTCAAAACTGGTTCAAAGTTTTAATTTAATAAAACATATTTTGAAACTTCACAAAACTATTTAGAGCACTTTAATCTCCCACTAATGCCATACTGTTTTAGCATGTTTTACCAGCAGTTGTGGGTTTACTTTGTTCGTGTCGTTTCCTTACTGCCACAAAAGCAAAACAGACTTTTCTCTCGGGCAACAAATAAAAAATGTGATTCCTTTCTTGCCTGGAGTTTTAAACTCACTGTGGCCTTGAACGCTTCTGGCAACTGTCACAACAAGAGTCTTTCAGCGTCACATCGCAGAGGCAGGCAGAACATGAGCTTCTCTTTGGCTACAAACCTCCAGTCCAGCTGTTTGACAACAACTCGGGTCAAATACTATCACTTTGTGTCCGAGTGGACCTCAAACTGCAATGCATTTGCAGCTGGGATTTCTTCCTCCGTGCTTTGAGATGCAATAATGTGTGTCAGGGTTAGCATGGGTTCTGAAGTGTGTCAAATCTGACCTAGTTCTTCAGCGCCAGCAGCTCCAGCAGACTGTGGATGTCTACGCTTGAGAGAAGCTAGCTTCATGACTCAGGGATAGAGAGGTAGTCAGAGCACACAAAAGTAGCACAGAGGTCTGTAAAATGCAAGAATAAAACACGATAGCTAATAAGCAGCCATGGCACAGTTTAATCAGTGATGTGCCAGATAAATCAGAAAGCTAAGAGCATGAGGGACTCTGAAGAGGCAATATGGGAACTGAAGTTACTGTGGAGGACAAGAGATGTGTCCTAGTTCCTTACCACACACGGTTTCTTAGTCCCTAAACACTGGAAAAGTAGCTAAATTAATAACTACGTAAAGGTCTTAGCAGCATAATAAATGGGCCTGATTTGCTGTCAACGGGCACTGTACTGTCCCATATTGTAAAAAACTGAAACTTTTTTAAAGTTTCAGAAAAACACAAATTCGGAGACAAAGTTGGGCATTTTTCAAGTGTTGTGTCCGAACAAATCACATGATGATTGTAATTTGTCGTAACTTTTTCCGGCGGAGCGGAGAGCAAAGAATGAGGGACCTGGCTGAAATTGAACCGGCGACATTGCGGTCATATGGCATCCGATGCAACCATTCGTCAACCAAAGCTCTACTTCTTCTTCCAGCTCTACTTCTTCCAACTTTTAGGAAAGACAGTAACACGTTTAGGAACTTTGACGGCAGATTAGGTTTGAATAAAGATAGAGGGACTGGAACGTGAGTTTGATTTGATACAG